ACGGGCCAGCGCGGGTGTCAACCCCGGGCGGCAGGATTTGAGTTGTGGCCACCTGGCGTGGAAGGGCAGCCAAGACATCACCGTGTCTCCCCCCCAACCCCCAGGGACAGGTAGCGCCTCTGGAGCCAGCACCTGGCCACTGCTGGGGACAGGGCTGCTGCCTTTCAGCAGAGAGGGTTTCAGGACAGGGCGGGGCCCAGGGCAACCACCCAGAGGGATTTTCTATACATTAAAAAATAAATACACTGGGCATTTCCCCACTTAAAACCAGTACGAGTGAGTCTCGAGTCTCTCGAGTCTCATCTCAGACATCAGCCAGGGGCCACTCAGCAGCCGGCTTGGAAAAAGGGAGAGACAGGCCTGCAGGCTGGGGCTGCCGGCCGGGGGTGCGGGTGCGTGGCTTGCGGGACTCCACACTCAAGTCCACGCTTTCCCCGCAAGTCACAGAACATGGCGACGACAATGAATAGCATCTGAAGTGAGGGCAGCGGGGCTGAGTAGCACCGCACAGCTGAGGACCCCACGTCCACCACAGTGAGGGCTCTTGGTGAGCAACCTTGAGAACGCACCTGCTGGGTTCTGCTGATGGCCACAGTTAAAGCCCGACTAAGAAATGGTTCTTGGTCGACCTCCCAAAATCCCACCAAGGGGTCATCCCTGGGCGTGAGGGTGAGCGTGGTCGTGGTGAACAGAGCCAGGAGGAGAAGGGCAGGAGGGCAGCTTCCCGGGCAGGGGTGACTGGCATGCAGAATGAACGCTCGCTGCCCAATCAAAACGCAGCCCCAACAGGGTTCTGAAAGGACACTGGGGACCAGATTTAAAGGCACAGAGTCTGAGGCTGGGTCTTGCACACAAGCTCAGGACCATCGAAGGCCCAGGCGGCTCCTGCTCCCAGGCCGGAGGGGCCCGCCCTCCTGTCCACAGTCTGAGGCCAGCCCTTGACTCGCAGGCTCCGCATCGTGCCCCCTGGCCTGCGGTGTTCTTGGGGTCAATGCACTCAATCCGAGGATGCTGCAGATGCAGGAAGAGCTGAGCGGGGACCTGGGCACCTAGCTCCTGCAGACTCTGGGGGAAGAGTTACTATTTGGCGTTTTAGCTTTAACTCTGAACTACGTAAATCCAAGGAGGTTTGAACTGGAGATAATTCAGCCTCTTCCCATTCCCCCAAAAGGGGGTGGGGATAAGGTGAGGACCTGGCCTTTCTTCAGTCGCACCGCCAACGGCAGCTGAAGACCTAACACGTACAATTTTCAAATCAACCAAAAACAGGAAAGTGTTCACAGAAGCACCAGAAATCAGCTCTCTCATTTTAAAATAATCTTTCACAAATGCAAAGGCAGCGGGATGATGGCAAGTCCCACCTCAGCATTTTGGAGGTGCGCATGCGAAACGCCGGGAGCAGTTCACAGGACTGGGCCACGGTGTGGCTGCTATGCAGTGTTCTCTCTAACACCCTAGGCCAGACTCTGGCCAACCCAGGGTACCTGAGAAGCCAGCAGAGCAGGCCAGCGGGGGCAGGCCCCCACCAAAACGCCCGTGTTCCCGGGGTGGCCTACACACACGAGACAGTGTGAGGGCGGGTTTCAAACGTTCGCACAAGACCGTGAAGGACACTTAGCTCTTTCAGAATTAAAGCATGCCGTGTAGCAGAAAAAGCATCAAACCCCCTGATGACAGTGCATAAGGCAACAGCTCCCCCAGCAACGGCACAGACACCCTGCGGGGTGAACCAGCGTCTGCAGAGCATCTGGCAGGACAGAGCCACCCCAGACCCAGGCACCTGTGCCCCTGAAGCCACCTGCTTGCCCTTCCAGAATCCCCAAGCAACTGAGGGCGGTCTGGAGTGAGCACTGACCTGCTGAAGACCGGAAACATGGAGAACGCGCAGAAAAGTGCCGGCAGCCGGGGAAGGGACATTACAGAGGGCAGATGCAGGCGTGCGTCAACTGTCAGCTCTCTCAGGACAGATGCCTGCAAGGGGACCCTGCAGTGCTGTGGGCAGGGACTCACACTGCAGGAAGCCCGCTGGGAACCCAAGGTCTAAGGTAACAAAGGGCCAGGGATGGGAGCAGGAAGTTTCACTTTCAAGGAGGGAGCGACAGGAACTCCAGATCCCAAAGCCGAAGGCCAGCTCCGCCTGGACCACTCTCTGGAGGCCACGCAGCTCTCTTAACTGTCCTATCTGCACAAGCGCTGGTGTGTCAGCACCTTTGTGATTTTACAGAGTGTACGAGGAGGGAGGGAGCAGGGCAAGCCGTTTGCAGCTCATTCGTAAGTAAAGCGGAGAAAAATAAAAGTGCTTTCTTGGGTTCAACAGAGGAGGGAGAAGCCACCCACGCAGCCCTGCAGAGATGCTTCTGCCGGCCTGGCAGGGCGGCATGAGGTCCCGTGTAGATGAGCCCTCTGCACTGCTCATGCTGGCCTCTCAAAGTCCGAGAAGTTTGGAGCCGGGTGGCACCAGGAGCTGGTCCAGGTGGCCCAGGAGGGGCGTCAGGGCTCACAGGATGGCACGCACGTGCCACTGCCAAGCCACAACCGGGCAGACAGATGCTCACAATTCGTTTCACAACTCAGGCAACAGTTTGGCTATTTTCAGTGTGGACAGCTACAAGTAAGAGCAAACATGAATCTATCCTAGAGAATTCAGAGGTAGCCTTTATTTGCAACTTTTTTTCTTTTTTTCTTTTTTTTAACTAAAAGGTATTTAGAAACCACCTTCTGTAGTGATTTGGCAAAGCCAATACATTCACTTTAGACAGCAAAATGGCAAAACATAAGCAAAGGAGTGTAAGCAAGGGCACGGTGACGGCCTCCACCAGACAGTACAGACGGCCTCCACCGGACAACACAGGCGGCCGCCCCCGCGCACCCGCACAC